TCCTATGTCCTTGCACCACTTTGAGTTGGTTTTTGCATATGAAGTGTGGCTCTTGCTTGAGTTTTCTGCAGATAGTTTTCCAATTTTTCCAACACCCTTTGTTAAAAAGGCTGTCGTTTCCCCACTTAATTGATTTCCTCTCCTTAGACAAGCGTTTCTGAGACACAGCATTGAGCCAGTTTTAAAGGGTTAGGGATGAACTGCAGGAATAGCCCAGCAGCTGAGTAAGAAAGTGAGGGGAGAAGGGTGAGATGGGGAGGAGGGTCAGATGGGGAGGAGGGTGAGATGGGGAGGAGGGTGAGAGGGGAGGAGGGTGAGATGGGGTGTGAGAGAGGGGTTTATTTTTTGTCTCATTTACTGCTCACTTACTAATTTACTGCTAGTTTTCTGGTTAACATACACCCATGAGTGCCTTCTGTTATCGCAGAAAACAAACCCCACCCCCTGCATCTCTCCCAGGAATAATTTCTCCTCTTACTTCTTAACACCAGGTTCCTGATAAAACAGAATCCAATTTCTGTGGCCTGGTGAAGAGCGGGCTCTCCTTTGTGGGGCCTGGCTTGGGAAGGACCACGGGGTGACAGGCTTAGGGTTAGGGAGGTGACATGAAGGCCACACTGGGAGGGGCTGCCTGAGAGGCTTCCCTCTCCCTCAAACAAGGTTATGACAAGAACGTAGGCACTGGGAGTCCTGTGGGGAAAGCTCGGATTGGGGTGCCAGATCTGATTAACTGAGCAGACTTTTGGACACAGATATATGGTCATGAGCTGGGTGAGGGCAGAGCCCCCTCTGCCCAGGGCTCCCTTCATGCCCTTTCCCGAATGTGAGCCCTGTTTGCCCCCAGAGGCAGCCCCACTGGATTGTGGACTTAGGAGCACAGCTGGCCAGGCACCGTGCCCTTCTGTGTGGCTCTGGGACACACCAGGGCTGCTGTTCCTCCACACCACAGCCTCTTTTAAGTCTTGTACTGATGAGGGAGGTGAGAAGCACTGGGTGGGTTCATTTGGTTGATTCTGGGGTTCAAGTGAGGAAACTCACTAGCCCACAGATAATATGCTGATTCTCCAAAAGAATCTTTATCAGTATCCAAACCAAACCCAAACTCCCTGCCATCTAGTCAATGCTGATTCATGACCGTCCAGTGCATGTTCACGGCACTGTCCTGCTGCAGAGGACACACGCGTGAACAGTGCTTCATACACAAGCACGGTGCGGCTGAAGCAGGATGGGGTGCTGGTTCTGCTGGGCGCAGGGAGCTCTGAGTCTTCACCTAACAGCTATGGCAACATTCTGGCCTGGGCTGCAGAACGTGAGGGAACATCAAACACAAAGGAGCGATCATCTGTATTCTTTATAAAAGGTCAACATCATCGAAAGAAAGGATGGATGGGGAAACACATAGAGGGTGGGACGATATAGAGCCAAAACAACGAAATTCGGTCCTGGGCCCCCGATGCCCGCAGGAGAAAAACGCTCCAAAGAACATCACTGGCTCAGTGATCAAAACCGGAAAATGGGCAGCGGAGTTGGTAAGACAACTGTGCTGATACTAAAGAAATGCTGAGATCATAAAAGAAAATTCACAAGTCAGTAACCACACACATGTAATTCACCCTCGAATGGGTCAGGAGACAACTCTGTGTGTGTGTGAGCATGTGGGAGAATGACACTAGGTAGACACAGGTAGGCAAGTATGTTAAAACAGGCTGACCTCGTTCGTGTGTGTGTAGAGTGACACCAGATTGGGTAGTGTGTTAACACACGCAGACCTCGTTTGTATGTGTGTGTGTCTCCATGATCCCGTGTGTGTGCATGTGTGTGTGTGTGTGTGTGTGTGTGTGTGTGTGTGTGTGTAAAGTGACCCCAGGTTGGGTAGTGTGCTAATACATGCAGACCTCGTTCATGTGTGTGTGTGCGTGCGCACGTGTGTGTGTAGAGTGACACCAGATTGGGTAGTGTGTTAACATATGCAGACCTCGTTCGTGTGTGTGTGCGCGCGTGTGTGTAATTACACCAGACTGGGTAGTGTGTTAACAGTATGTGCGTGTGTGTGCGTGCGTGCGCGTGTGTGTGTGTAGAGTTACACCAGGCTGGGTAGCGTGTTAACACACGCAGACCTCGTTTTAGTGCCCTTTGCAGATACTGTGTTTTTACAAATTAAAGGTTTGTGGCAGCCCTGCCTCGAGTCAAGTCTATCTGTGCCATTTCTCCAGCAGCAGGTGCGCACCTGGTGTCTCTGTCGCACTCTGGTGATTCTCACAACACTTAAGCATTTTTATAACACGGGCACACAGCTGATCACAGACTGCAGAGCAGTGTCACTAACATATATGTGCACTTGGAACCCAAAACCGGCCTGTGACTGGATTTACTGTGCCATTCGCTTTTCTGTGGTGGTCTGGAACCGACCCCGCAGCGTCTCTGAGGCCAGCCTGAGGTGGACACATCTGGGTGACTAGTATTATGTCGTCCTTTCCACCATCTTTCCCACTTTCCTCTAAGGCCCTGGTCATTTCAAGTCAAGAACTCCTGAGAGTTTCCGATCCCTTTCCCCTCCGTGCGCCCTCCAGCCCTCGGTTCACCAGCAGAAACTCAACCGAGGAGAGCAGCTCCTCCCCTGAAGCTGCCTCCCGCTCTTCCTTACAAACAGCTTTCACTTTCTTCTTAGAGCTCAGTGACCTCAGAAGCCAGTGAAATGCAGAGCCTGGGGGGCACTCTCTCACGCTCTTTGGGTTTTGTGGGGTATTGTTTCCTGACTGGGCAGGTGGAGGAGGGCCTCACCGTGCCGGGCCTGGTGAAGTCCACGCTGTGTGCCAGGCTCTGCCGCATCTGGTTGCTGAAGAGACGGACGCAGACGCTCTGGAGGTACTCTGGGGTGATCTGCAGAGAGGACAGGAGGGCGTCAAGTAAAGGTTCAGAACTACCTCCGATCCAACTAGCAACAACTTCCAGCTTTCACACCTAGCTTCAAGCAACTCATTGCGATCGAGTCAGAACAGACTCGTCGCTGACCCTCCAGCAGGTTTTCAGAGCCTGTAAATCACATGGAAGGAGGCTGCCCATCTTTCTCCCTAGAAGCAGCTGGTGGATTCAAACTGCGTGCCTTTTGAGTGGCAGTACCCCTCCTTACACAGTAGGCCACTGGGGCTCTCGGCAGCAGCACGGACCCTCTCTAATGTGCACTGATGGGGTGAACAGGAAAAACCATGGGCTGCTTTGCTGCCAGGAGTGAAAGCACTGGGTCTGGCAGGAAACCCTGCCGATAAACTACACGACGATCACAGAACAGTATTACAGAGAGCGTTACGTTCCCCAAAATTACTTTATAATGAAGTACCATGGATGTCACTATCCTCCGTAACAGCTGTCAAATCATTAAGGGTATGGAAAAAAGCTCAATCAATCTTAATTTCAATTCATTATTGAAGACAAAGAATATGTATCAAATAATAGCTGGTCAACGTGAAATTAAACCCTTTGTAAAAAATAAAAATGAATAAGAAAAAAATAAGGGTGGGATATAATACTTTTCACAGCCCTGATCCAACGTAAGGGGAGTTTCCCCTGGGTGTGGCCTACAGTACCTTTTAACTTTCAAGAGATAAAGGAAGAAAAAAGCCAGGAGAGATGGGGACCTCAGTATCAGCAAGAAAGAAGTGCCAGGAGAGGAGTGTGTCAGCGGACCACAGACCCGACGCTGGGCGGGTCCTCAGCAACAAGGCAGAGACACAGAGACATCGCCGAGGAACGATGGGCCTCCGGATGCTGAAGGGAACAGGGGCCTTCCTCCAGCACCCACAGAAAGAGAGCAGCGCCCTGAACTTGGACTTCCAGCCTCTAATACTGCAAGGACACAAACTGTCTGTCTTCTGTTACTGCCACCCACTTGTTCCAGCAGCACTCGGGTAACTGAGACGGGCATTGTACTCTAAATGAAGGGAAGCAGATGACTGAAATAAAAAACCAGCGAGTCAGCTATGATCTTGTGCTGGTGCAAAGACGTGGGCTTTAAAATCCCTCCCATGCCGCCTAGGTCCCCTTCTTAGTCACAGAAGAAACGGAAGCAGCCTGTGGAGAACCCTCTGGACAGTGAGCAGGGTGTGAAGCTTCAAAGAGCGGATCAGCACAAGGCCAGAGCTCCTCCCTGGCCCTTGAGTTCACACCCTGACGTCATACAGTTGTAGAGGTTGTCATGTGCTGTTGTCTGGGATTCAGTGACCTGTGGACACAGGATCTGACCCCCGCACCATCCTTGTCATCTCTCATCTACTTGAGCCCACTGTTACAGTAACAGGGTCAATACACCTCATTGGGGGGGGTCACCCTCTCGTCCACTGACCCTCATCTTTCCAAGCACAATGTCCTTCTCCAAGGTTGGCTCCCCCTGACAACATGTCCAAAGTATGTGAGACGAAGTTTCACCATCCTTGCCCCCAAGGAAGAGCCTGGTTTCCCTTCCTCTTGAACAGAACGGTGTGCTCTCTTGGCGGTCTACGAAATAGTCAATGTTCTCCAACACCACAACTCAAAGGCATCGATTCTTCTCCTGTCATCCTTAGTCACTGTCCAACCTTCAGATGCACAGCAAGTAACTGAGAGAAATCCTACAGTACCCAGACTTAATATCCCCTCTTCCCCTCTTGTATTTTTAACTTTTCCTTTTACATGCATTCCTTCCCCAAAAGCAAAAGGAATGCTCAAGTTTATTTACTACTTTAAAAAATATAAAGAAATCACAAAGAAAGGTTTGGGATAAAACTCAAAACTATGAAAAAGACCAGGCTCACTGGCTTGATAAAGACTGGTGGAATCCAGAGACCATGACCCTCGTTACGCTTAAAGCCGGGAAGGGAACTTAAATCAGCAAAGTCAACTTTCAGGCCAACAACAGACAGGGCAGCACCGTGAGCTGTAAGCGGCACACCCAGGACAACGGCAGTTAGGTTTTAACAGGAGAGAAGGCGGAAGAAAAGTGTTCTTATTTCTTTCTGTACTGTTTACATTTTCTAACTATGTTAACTTCTGTCAACAGGTGAGTTATACGAGCCATTTTTTTCCTTCTGTTCTGACATTTTGTTCATATTACAGAAAAGTTATTACATATTATTTCTAAAACAACAAAACCACCCTCCCAAAGCTAACTGAGAAAGTTCAACGTCCTACTTTAAAAAAATGCATTTCATAGCTTCTGACTAAGGTACAGGACTGGACACAAACTTCTCAGCATGGTCTACACATCTCCACGACCTTGACGAAGCCACCTCCATGCCATCTTTCAACATGGGGCCACTTTTCCTAGCAGACAATACAACTGTCAAAACAGGACACAATGGAGCCAATCAAAGAATCAGATTAATATAGTTGCCAAAGGCAGCTGTGGATACAAAACCAATTCATAAATATCTTTCTCTGTCCTCCATGCCAGCAGGTATTTCTCCCCGACCCTGCGTTTTTATGCTACCAGTTAAGTATTATTCTTTTTCCTGCGCTGGACAATCTATTCTTTACCAATGAAAGGATAAGGTAGAGAAATAAAGCTGTGATAGAGAATGTGTTAGGGAAAACAGGTCAAATATTCCAAGTGCATGATTAAAAACAGCTCCAAACACAGCCTGGGCTCTTCCATGGGGCCCGTGATGTTCTGAAGCAGGAGGTGGGCTCCATCAGCTTAGGAGTGACCAGAGAGCCCCTATTAACAGAGTCTACACCAGAGGCTTCCAGATCTTGAAACAGACACAACAGTACAGTAAAACCTACAGAAGCCAGGTGCAGGCAGAAGCCTGGCAGAGAAGACAAACTGCAAGCATTTTCCACTAAGACCACCCCTCGGACACCCTTCTCACCTGGAAGTGACCCCAGTCCCAGAGAACAACAGACCGGTCTATAAAGTGAATATACTCCAGAGAGGAGCACAGACCAACGTAAATTTTGCAAGACCGAAAGGGCAGAGCTGGAGCTCTGTGGAGCTGGCGCAGGACGGGGGCGTGTGGCACTCTTGTACACATGGTCACCTGGAGTTACTACCTGATGGCATCTAACCACCAATGACAGGACAAGTGGCCAGGCCTCCCCCATCCAGGTGGGAAGCTCCGAGACCCGGACAACACAGGCCATCAGTCCTGGCTCTCGGGCGTCCCCGGGCACAGCTGGGGACATTCCTTACCATCTTGCCACTGACTGTGGCCTCCAGGGAATCCACCAGCTCCGCCGTGACTCCGATGAGGTTGTGGTAATCGGCCTGGATCTTATTGTACCGCTTCAAGTACGTCATCGACCTCCGCTCCGCTTCGACCAGCTGCTGGTGGAGCTGCTGCAGGGTTTCTGTGAAGACAGTCTCCGTTAGAGCAACAACACACAGAGCCAGTGCCACAAAGACCCCTTAAAGCCGCGTGATCCCACTCTCCTCAAAGGACCGCGTGTGGCTATCAGAACACGCAGCGCTAACGGGCCCGAACTCATGTCTAACACTTCTCTTCCCTGCCACTTGACAAAGGGCCTTGTAATCATTACCATTAGGGCGTTCTGGTGGCCTAGCGGGGAAGGAGTTGTGCTGCCAACCTAAAGGCACCAAATCCACCAGCTGCTCCAAGGGAGAACCATGAGCAATCTCCTCTGGCCTGATGTACAGCCTCTGAAAATCCAGGAGGTGCAGCATGAGTCAGCTCTAACTTGACAGCAATGAGTTGAACTGCATTTATCATCACTGGGTTTAGGTTTTTAGTTTCTGGTCGTGTGTGATCCCGCTTTTCTGTTGTACACTGGGCACTTCTGTTTTGTTATAGGGTCACTAAGAGTCAGAGCTGATTCAACAGCACTAATAACACATCTCTGGATGTTCACCTAAATTACCCCCCATATCAGAACGAAACAATTTTCCTAAATTGAACCTCATGCAATACATTTTTCTTTTCCTTGTATGTTGCTGGCAATGCCACCAAATCTAGTAGGCCTCACAGCAGCCCTGTGAACGACAGATCTGCCCGCATTCCTGTCCGGTGCCATCCTCACAATCTGACATACTCAAGCTAATTGCTGCAATCACTGTCAGTCCTCCTGGCTAAGGGTCTTCCTCTCTTCCACTGTCCCCTGCTTTTCCAAGAATGATGTCCTTCTCCAAGGAACAGCCTTTCCTAGAAACATGCCCAAAGTCCGCAAGATGAACATTCGCCGTCCTTGCCTCCAAGGACACTCTAGCTGTTCCTTCTCCAAGACATATGTTTGTTCTCTTGGCAGTCCATGGGATGTCAATACTCTTCTCCAACACCACAGCTCAAAGGCATCAATCCTTCTTCTGTAATCCTTATTCACTGTCCAGCTCTCAGATGCATAGCAAGTGACTGAAAGGACCATGGTCTGTCTCAAAGGCACTTCTGTCCTCACACCAACATCACGGCTCCTCAGTAATAAGAAGAGGTTCCTGACTGCAGACCTTCTCAGCGCTATATGTCTCCTGATCTCTTGACTGCTGGTACCAAACTACCGATTGTGGATCCAAGTAAGATGAAGTTGTTGACAGTTTCAGTCTTTTCTCCATCTATCATGACTTACCACTTATATTTGTTTCTGTGTATAAGAAACAAACAAATATTGTGCCCATAATTAGTTCCAAGATCTTCAGCCATGTTGTAGGTTAAGGAATTTGACAGTTCAAACCTACCAGCAACACTGTGAGAGAAGATGAGGCAGTCTGCTGTCGTTAGGATTTACAGACAGGGTTAGAGAGCTGATGGAGGGTCCCCAGGAGTTGACATCAACACAATGATAAGGGGGTTTGGTTTGGTATTTTAGTTACATCAGTTCACAAAACAGTTGATCAAAACCTGAGTCTTTCCCTTTTTTTGCCCCGCAGGGTTATCTGGGAGAAAACTCGTCTCCGGGACAGTTCTTCACAGCATGGATCCCAGAGGTGGGGCAGGGTTGGGCCCTGTTTTGTCCTGTGGAACACACAGCCACTATGAGCCACAGCTGTCTCAATGGCACCTGACACAAGTTTTTCATTTACGAAGAGGTCTGGGACGCTTGGCTGATTCTGGGGGAAAAACTGGAATCCAGAATGAGACATGATTCTAGCGGCAGTGTGACAAAGCATAAAACAAGCCCCATCAGGCCTCAAAGCAGGCAGCTTAGAAACTCCAGGATCCCCTGCCTGGGGTCCCCCAGAGGGTAGGCCTGGGGGGACTGGTGATGAAGCCCTTGTGGGTGCAGCTGGAAGGGACACATCGTCACTAACATCACTTCTCTGCCCTCTCCTGCTTTCCCTTACCTTGCAGGCTGGCTGGACACTGTGACAAATCGCTACTAACATCAGCACTTGTTTGCGCTCTCCTGCTTTCCTTACTATAGGCTGCATTTCGATAGAGGAAAACAGCAAGCCCCAGAAATCCAAGCTAAGTCACTACTGTCCCAGCAATAGGGCTAAAGTGTTTGTAACTATTTAAAAATCACTTACAGTGTGGTAAGCTATCAATAGGACCTGACCACCTGGGTTAAAGTGCTTGGCTGCTAACTGAAAGGTCAGTGGTTTGAACCACCAGCCACTTCCCAAGTGAAAGATGTGACAGGCTGCTTCCACAAAGAGCCACAGTCCCGGAACCCTACGGGGCAGTTCTGCTCTGTCCTTCAAGGTCACTGAGTTGGAATCAATTCCAGGGCAACGGGGGGGGGGGGTCCTCATTAAGACACTGTAATATTTTAAGTATACATTTTTTAAAATTTATTTATTGTGCGTATACCGTCAAATAAGATCTGACTGGTACAGGAGGGAAATTTTCCCTCCTCCTCCGGCAGAGCATCTGGTGGATTTGAACCGCGCAGCTCTGCGATTGTAGTACAGCTTCTTGCCACTAGGCCACCAGAGCTCCCCTCAAGTACACATTTTAAGTCACATTTCATGTAAACATTTAACAAACTCTTGGATTCAAACTCCTATTTCTAGCACTTTCTTGCCAAACATACTTCACTGACTCCCACATCTCAACCTAAAATAGGGATGATAATTACCTTATAAAATTACTTGAGGATTCAATGAAAAATGTTCTCAACATGCCTGGTGTAAAGGCTGGCCCACAGCAGACAACCAGTGAGCGGCTGGAGCTACCAACACTGTTCTATTCCACAGAAATGGGTTCAAGATTTTCTAAATGCATCTTTGTGCCAAGTGAATAATCTGGAAAGTGGCAGATAGGTCATACATAGTGGTAAACACATTCTGAAAAATACCCGAGTCGTCTGAAGTGTTTGCTGAAACTAAAGATGATCCGGGCTCACCCCCGGAGAGTCCGACTTTGTGGATAATGGATGGGCTCTGGGTACCTTTTCAACAAACTCCCTAAAGGCATATCACGTGCTTGCGAACCATGGTCCTAAGTCAGGGGTGCTGCAGTGGCACCGGGAAGGTTGGCGGCTAGAGCTGATCTCCTTCTCAGTGGAAGACAGAAGCGGCAGTCCGCTTCTGTAGACGTCCAGCCTGCGAAGGCAGCGGGGTGGCTCTGCTCGGTCCTGCATGGCCACTGTGAATGGACCTGACCCAGGCGTGGTCCTACACGGCCCCGTCCCCCTGCATCTCTGTCCTGAGCATCGACAGACCAAGCACATTCAAACTACGGTTCAAAATAATGTCAGGGTTCACAATTAAGTGCTTAGTGTTTATTATTTAAGTGCAGAATATTCATTGTTGTTGTTGTTGTTATGTGCCGTTGAGTCACTTGCGACTCATAGCGACCCTATGTACAACAGCCCTAAAATTATCATTCAAAACCCAAAGTTTTACTAAAATGTCTCAGGATAATGAACTTGTATAATTATGATTCAACACCATGGCATCTCCGTACTAAAGATAACTTCTGGAAAGCTACTTGGCCTGACTTTACACCCAGAACTTGAACCCCTGGAGACCATCCCCAGAAACCATTTCCCAAGCTTCCCTTTAAGTGTTCTTTTGTGGGGAGGGGGTCACTATTCCTTCCTACCTCTTACATGGTGTTAAAATGGTAATAAGTGCAACAATGAATGAACGAAAATCTAACTTTTCTGTAAACTTTTGTTAAAATTACAAAATAAAAAAAATTTACTTAAAAAATACTAATAAGTATTATTAAAGCTTTTTCATATGCATAAGGTTCAAAATTAGGTCAACTTCCAGAGATACTCATACTCTCACTGCAGGGTCACAAGCAGGAGATATCATCTGTGCAAACTTGCTCAACACAGACCAAGTGGGATCGATCTGAGGAAAGAAGCACCAAAACCCATCAGCTCGACTGTATGGTCACCCAAACCATCAATGTGACACCACCGAAGTGCCTTTCTCTAAGAGGGCTGCACAAGCAAACTCTTCCTCAAGCAAAAGAATTATTCAATTAAGGAGAACTGCTCATCTGCAGAGCCTATGCTTTAGGAACCCAGAAGTGGAATTAATCATGAGCTCAAAATGTGGTAGAGCTGAGTTGAGGGGCAACAGATATGTCAACAGCTCGCAGGAATCTGGAAAGCAGAAAAAAATGGGCTAAAGTGTTTGAAACCATTTTCAAATCACCTGGAAGACATCTGGACCTGCCTATTGCTAAAAACTATCCAAGTAATAACTCAAAGAAAAGAACTTTATTTCAGAGCACTGAACAGAACTTTGACCCTTTTTAATCCACCAGAGTTTTTATGAGATGATGGCGACTGAGCCAAGGTGCCTTGTATGGAAGACTTCAGCTTTTAATGGACATGTCTAAACAGGAATCTTGTGTTATTTTAACGAACCTGTCTTCATGTTGCCAAGGGAATTTACTGAGACTGCAAGTTTCAAAACTATGGATATAAATTTGTGCAAAAGTCTAAAGAATTGTGTGCCAGGTTTTAGACAAGAATTACATGCAACTTAAAAAAGTCATTACGTTCATAAAAAGTTTTCCTATCCAGACATGCTTTGTTTTATTAAACTTCCCAGGTATTTTGTGTTTTACAAATTGAAGGTTTGTGCGGAAAGGATGAGACTATCAGCCTCGCCTTCCCAACAGCAGTGTGTGCTCACGCCAGGTCCAAGTCACAGGGCACCATTCTCACAGAACTTCTAACACATTCACAATGCTACAGCCTGCTGCACAGACCACAGCCTCCTCACACGCACTGGCAAGCAGGAACATCGGTGTGACCTGCTTTACTGAGACATTCACTCTACTGTGGCGTCTGGAACCAAATCGGCAGTATCTTAGACACACTGACATCCCAAAAGGCAAGGTATCACCAACCAGCGGGATGCAAATCTCTCCCACCTTGTCTCTCTTGCTATCATTTCTACTTCGTTTAGGTGCACTGCTTTTCTTTATTTATTT